AAAGGCAAAATGTTTGTTGTCTGAGGTAAAACGACCTACTAGCACATGTTTACTTACCACTTTCCTTAACAAGTTACATAATGGCATGTGTCACCGACATTCAAAACCACAGCAGACGGCTAGAAGCAACTACTACTACGAATCGACGCTCTAAACTTTGAGACACTGCCTGCCTGCACCGCGTTCTGTGATGCTTGCGAACCGGAAGTTTACAACACTATTCAAGAGATCCTCATGACAACGAAAGGTGCCATCGTTTGTTCAGAGGGATGATGACAGGTTGTCAGGTGTGCAGAAGCAATGGTCTGACTCCTGATTTCCCAGGTCAAAGTGACGGACAGTACCGTCATTCTATATAATATCGACCACCGTTGTTCTAGTCTTTGGTCAGGTTGTTCATGACTTGTCACCGTAGAAGGAACAGAGATCAAGGTTAATAATATATTAAGTTAAAACATGTTTGCTTCAAGGAGAGCAAATAATGATGCTGCGAAAAGCAATATGAACCGTGACAATTCTGCGTTCCTGCGCTGTTTAAACTCTGTTAACCTCAGTGACGATGATGACAAAACAACAGTTTTCGACGGTAAAGCAAAGATTTAAAATTGCTAAATTTTTATTGTTTGTTCCGGTACTTTCGGCAGTCCATATAACAAGTTTTTTCAACGTTGTTTACTTGTCGCAGAAAAAATTCTCATCCAAAATCGTTACCTATCAGGAATAACGATGATTCATCGACGGTGACAAATTTTCATCATTTCAACAAATCAAAATGGACAATATGATGATTCACATAAACCTGATACGTTTGGCATATTTGGTAGATATCTTTATCGTTTAAGCCGGTTGTGACCTATACATGTGTTTTATGACAGTATCTATGGGCGTGAAATCTTGTTCTGACCAAATTTTCCCTCTTCTTGAGCAACGTCAACCATTCCAGTTATCCTGGTTTGTCAATTTCCGCGATTTTAAGCCTGTAATTGATTCCTTAGATCGTCCAACGATGTGGAAAATCTTAAAATGTTGCTGCTGGATACAGAGCAAATCATGTCTGTTGTCAACGTCAAAGGAAAATAATTTTAATGACTACATGTAAACTGTGAAGTTCGCCAGGGATATGTACTTTCGCCTTTGCTCTTCAATATTGCTCTAAACTCTATTCTTCGAAACAGTGCTGGCTCTGGCAAACACGAAGGTTCTAGCCATGCATTTTGCTGACCTGGACTATGCGCATGACATTGTCTTAGAAAGTTGTACGGAAAGCGGGCTCTGAAACCTGGCGGCTTCCATTTGCACGATAGCTGCGAAAGCCAGTCTCTACCTTTACGCTCAAGCAGTCGAAAAGTTGAGGAACACACCAGACATGGCTAATCTACTAGTGTGACAGGGAGACCTAACAAACGAAAACGGAGGTTGTGTAATTTAAATATCTCGGCTCCATCAACTTAAGCGGTGGAGACGGATCTGATGTCGAAGAGGAGTATTTCGTTACACACTGCAGAAACAGGTGCATTATAGAAAGTCATGAAAAACTGCGAATGCAGCGGACATTACAAACTAATGAGGTTCTGCCTACATAAAGGGCTCAACATGCGAAAACAACATTTTTCGCGAGCGAAAGACGCACGTCGACTAGGTCTCTGCGCGTTACCGATTGTTTAAGTCTAATGCCTTGAAAATCTTATTAACAGGAAGGCAGACCAGATTATGACAGAGGCTACCTCGCATGACTCAAATCTTTCAGACTATAGAAATTCATTCATTTCGCAATTTCATCCTAATTACCCGAATAAATTGGTCACTCTTTCATGCTATTTATTCCCTCCAGCGAAAACTGAAACGAGGCACATCTGAAAGTCAGTGATGCGGATATCGCGGCCATCACCTACTCGTCAGAGGATCCTCTGCGCCAGCACGTGCTAATGCCGTGGCTGATATTTTTAATAATAACTCGCTGCTTCTGTCTTCCAAGTGGCTATAAAAAATACGTGTGAATCGTACAAAAAACTACCAAGTCTACAGCATTTGCACTGTTTGTTTATTGATTCGCAGTTTATGAAGGGAGATCTTTAAAATCCAACTTCCTGAGAACTTTGCGGAGCACTAGTGACGACCGAAGTAAAAGATGAGATGATATGATGAAATGGGCAACAGCTACAGATTGCAACAAATCGCGAAGGCCCTGGTACGATTCGGAGACGACTGTCAAAAGCTTCCGGCAAAGAAATGCCAGGCCGTTCGCTTTCCTCTTTTTCGACAACTTAGCATCCATTTCAGACCTGTCGCAATCCTGTCTGCACGAACCTGGCACAACGTTGTCAGGAAATATTTAAGGAACTAAACAATTGCCGGCAGCACTCATTTCATTCACTGACTAATGTTAGTGGACGAAAGGCACTATTTCTCTTCGAAAAGCTGAAATACTAATACATGAGTCTCGCTCAACTCTGTTAGTCGATATTCACAGATGAAGGTATGACAATAAACGATAAACATGAGTTTCAGAAGATGATTAAGGCTACAAATATAAAGTGCGTTGCAACCTCCGTCATTTCCGCGTTTTCTTGCTGTTCAGCTTTCAGGCCCTGTCGATCCCCTAGGCTTAGTCAAAATTAAAATTCAAACAAACTGTGCATTCTTCGATTTACGTATGCCTTCCCTATTTTCTTTCCTGGACATCTCAAAACCGATTTTCGTACTCTGCGTTGGGCCGTCAAATTGGTAACAAGCAATGGCTACTTCGATTTTGAAGTTTTTGCCAGTGAACCTTGTACAACGGATCTTAAAAGCTTGTCCATGCTTCGTCATCGGTAATCTAACAACAACCATCCGTTTCATCCAGGTCTAGAGCGCTGCATAGCCCTACATCGCGGTACGAGATCAGAAAGAAAAAGAACATCTACTGTCGACAAAACTAAGACGACCTTCAGTCACTCCTTTCTTGACTAGCTGATAGATTTAATTGATTAATCTTCCGCTAAACGCGCATGCGTTTCTTAATTTTTATTGTTCTTCATACCTGCTGAAAGATATGGTTTATCCTGTATACCGAAGCAGTAAAATACATACATACATACATCCATTCATTCATTCGGATAAGAAATTATGTAAATGCAGCAAACTGTGCGATTTATTTCTTCATTCGGATACCACTGAATTATTGGTGACTCATTCAGTCAGGGCAGAAGTCTCCGACCAGCAGTGGAACGTTCCACCAATGTGCGATTAACGCCTCCATAGTCAAGTCAAGATGGCATCTCACATAAGGACAGATCGACACTTTAAATGGGATATCTGTGAATGCATAATTACCGACAGTCGAACATACCACGGTCCAATATTGATGCATACACGACGTTTGGCTTCTGCAAACGGAAAATGGCCTTGACGCCCTCATTCGATTAATTTATCTGCCTCTGCTTTGTACACTCTGACTCATGAGAGATGGAGTATATGCAGTCACGTTCTCTTTCAATACCTTGAAAAGGTTTCACGACTTTTCTGCTTCCATTTAGACGTTTCGTTGACACCTTCAAAACCGTAATAGAGAAAATTCGATCAAGCACTCTTGCACTGTTGCCATGTGTTTATTTCGGCAACAAAAAAATGTGTCATACAGCACAGCTGTTGTTCCTTGCCGTCACTTTTTACCGCAAGTTCGCACTCTGGCAAATTCACGACTGTGAGAACGAATTACTTGGCTGCCACCATTGACGCGAATGACCTTGACACTACCGTACTGAGACCTAGTTAACCTCTATACTAATGTTGTGGTGTGAACTCACTATAAATGATAAATAGCATTCCATGAAAGTCATTCCTGCCACAACGTCAGTTCGTTAGAACTTAGAGGTACAAAGAAGAGTAAGTGCGAAGCCACGCATCTGTTTGTAAAAGATCATTAAATTCGACGAACTAGCGAGCACCCCACGAAATAAGCTATACATTGAATAATCCCTGAAGCATATGAAATGAATGGTTTCATCTTCCCACTTCCTTTATTGAGCCAGACCTTCTTCGAATCAAGAGGTCACAGTTGGAATGTTTAAGATAAGTGATGCTGATGTCAGAAGAAAAGCATGGAAGACCGATCTTGTTCACAAGGCTGTATGACAGGTGACTAATCGGTAAAGAGATGATTGGATAACTCGGGTGTGCTGAACACCTTATATCGTTTAATATTGGAATTCCACCCGTGGAGCTTGTCTGGTTTAGTGGAGGAAACTGTGGTGACTAAAAATCTTTCTAATGACACGGCTACCAGCTGAAAAATAAAATTGCGGTAGAATTATGCAAGGAAAACTTTTTGTCTTCAAATTAGCGAAGAAACAACATCTACATGGAAAACATTGCGGCAAATATAGCAGTGGCAACGACAAAATCATAGGAGACAAAATGCGAGGACGAATGCCCGTACTCTGTTAACTTCATGTTAACCAGGGAGGCTCTTCATGAACCCGGAAATAGTCAATTGGCCACCAAAGCTGTGATGAAACCGAGTGAGGGCGCGAGAGTCGTAATTTCGACTCTGTAAGCAGCATTTGCAAAAAAAAATCCTTGCCCAGAGATGCTGAC